CAGCACAGAGCCAGACGCGGGGCTCAAACTCTTGAACCACGAGATCATGACCTGAGCCGAAGTCAGACGCTTAACCGACTGAGCCACCCAGGTGCCCCTAGATATTTCCCACAAATGTTTTAGTTGAACAGTTTAAAAGAGTTGTGGTGAAACATAATTCTTTTATCTCCCTTATCTCCTCTGTCCTCCTTTACAGAAGCAACTCCTTTTAGGTCTTTGAGCCGTGTCTTCTGGTGTTTTTCCACATTTCTAAGTAACATCGTATGTTGCTATCTCTTAATTTACCAGTTTTAGACACCTCTTGATTTCCTAGTATAGAAGGTAAGGATTTAGGGTAACTTACACTCCTTCCTCTGCCTATATTGTCCCAGTATAAATTTTTTTCCTTTAATGGCAATGTGAATATTTATGGCTCACTGAGTCAAGTAATGTACTGATTACGTTTCCTTCGTTATTCAATTTTATGTGATTCTTGGAGTTTTTAATGGACTAATTTTGTATTTGCTTTCATTCTTTAGTCTCTGGCCCATCTTCTAACAGCCTCCAGCGGCGGTTTAAGTGCCTTTCCATATGGTTTTCCCCATAGTCAAATCTCTAGAAGTTCTACGTCTATGATCATCTTGGAATTTTTCTTTTCATTGTCCACAAATCCCCACCAGGATCTGTCCCTGCACCACCCACACCGATTTGCTTTGTGTCCTCTCTGCTCTTTCATCTGCCTTTCCTTCTTCTGGTTTTTCCATCGCCATGCGTTGTAGTCGGAATCACAGATGTTTGGGTGGTTGTGCTTCCTGCTATTGTGGGATTATTTTGAAAGGGAGAGTGGGATACAAACCATCAGTTTTTTTTCTGTCTTGAAACACAGAATACCCTGATCTGTAGATTTGTATCATTCTCGTACAGAACACTAAATTAATATCATGTGGGGCAATTTCCATTTGAATAGAATGTGAAATATATAGACTATTTCTGTAATTCGAAATTGGAATGACTTAGTAGTTTCAACGGAAAGTAACAATTTTTTTGCTTTTATTCTTTTATAGCCTTGTGGTTTTGTAATACTGCCTTATGTTCTGAAGCTATCTTAGAGTATTCTACTTCTTTAAAATTTTTCTAGGGGCACCTGGGTGGCGTAGTCGGTTAAGCGTCCGACTTCAGCCAGGTCATGATCTCGCGGTCTGGGAGTTCGAGCCCCGCGTCAGGCTCTGGGCTGATGGCTCAGAGCCTGGAGCCTGTTTCCGATTCTGTGTCTCCTCTGCCCTCCCCCGTTCATGTTTGGTTCTCTTCTCTCTGTCCCAAAAATAAATAAAAAAAAAAAAAAAAAAAAAATTTAAAAAAAAAAATAAAATAAAATAAAATAAAATTTTTCTAAATCCCTGTTTAAGCCTGAAATCAACCGTTATTAGTAATATACATTGTGGTGAACTTTATGAGGTTGTAGCAGTGATGAAACCCCCAGATAGTTTTACTCACAATATAATCGCTATATATATAAGTTTTTTTAAAAAAAATTGTATGAGTCGATTCATATTCTTTATTTTTATTTTTATTCCAGGATAGTTAACATAAAGTGTTACATTAGTTCCAGGTATACAATGTAGTGATTCAGTAATTCTATACATTACTCAGTGCTCCTTATGATAAATGTGCTCTTAATCCCCTTCACCTGTTTTACCCGTCCCCCCACTCACTTCTCCTCTGGTTACCACCAGTTTGTTCTCGCTGTTTGAGTCTTATTTTTCACTCCTTTGCCCTCTTTTTTTTTCTTTGTCTGTTTGTTTTATTTCTCCACGCGGGAGTGGTATATCGTATTTGTTTTCTTTTTACCGACTTCATTTAGCATTATACTTCCTAGATCCATCCATGTTGTTGTAAATTGCAAATATTCATTCATTTTTATGGCTGAGTAATATCCCATTGTGTGTGTGTGTGTGTGTGTGTGTGTGTGTGTGTGTGTATACATCTTCTTTATCCATTCATCTGTCGATGGACACTTGGGCTGCTCCCATAATTTGGCTCTTTTAAGTAATGCTGAACTAAACATAGGAGTTCATATACGTTTTTGAATTAGTGTTTTGTATTCTTTTGGTAAATATCCAGTAGTGTGATTGCTGGATTGAAGGGTAGATCTCCAAGTGTGCTTGTGAGTGGGAGAGGGGCAGAAGGAGAGGCAGATCTTCAGCAGGCTCCACACCCAGTGCAGAGCCAGATTCAGGGCTCCATCCCAAGAACCGTGAGATCATGACCTGAGCCGAAATTGAGAGACAGACACTTAACTGAGCCACCCAGGCACTCCAGGGTAGTTGTACTTTTAACTTTTTGAGGAATCTCCATACTATTTTCCACAGTGGCTGCACCAGTTTGCATCCCTACCAACAGGGCACGGGGGTCCCTTTTTTGCCCACATTCTTGCCAACACTTGTCGTTTCTTGTTTTTGATTTTAGCCATTCTGACAGGGGTGACGTTATATCTCAGTGTGGTTTTGATTAGTATTTCTCTGATGATGAGTGATGTTGAGCATCTTTTCATGCGTCTGTTGGCCATCTGTGTGTCTTTGAAGAAATGTCTGTTCATGTCTTCTCATTTTTTAATTGAGTTGTTTGGTTTTTGGGTGTTATATCAGTTCTTTATGTACTGTGACTAGTAACCCTTTGTCAGATACGTCATTTGCAAATGTCTTCCATTTAGTAGGTTGTCTTTTAGTTTTATTGTTTCATTTGTTGTGCAGAAGCTTTTTGAGTTAGTCCCAATAGTTTATTTTTGCTTTTGTTACCTTGGCCTTTGCGTACATATCTAGAGAAATGTGGATGTCAGAGAAATTACTGCCTGTGCTCTCTTCTAGGATTTTTATTGTTTCAGGTCTCACGTTTAGGTCGTTAATCAAACTTTGAGTTTATTTTTGTGTTTAGTGTAAGAAAGTAGTCCAGTTTCATTCTTTTGCATGTAGCTGTCCAGTTTTCCCATCACCATTTGTTAAAGAGACTTTTTCCCATGCATATTCTTGCCTCCTTTGTCAAAGATAAATTGATCATATAATTGTGCATTTACTTCTGGGCTGTCTATTCTGTTCCATTGATCTGTGTGCCTGTTTTTGTGCCAGTACCATACTGTTTTGATTACTACAGCTTTGCAATTTTTTTTTAAATGTTTATTTTTGAGAGAGAGAGAGAGAGAGAGAGACAGAGTGTGAGCAGGGGAGGGGCAGAGAGAGAGGGGTGGGGGGCACACAGAATCTGAAGCAGGCTCCAGGCTCCAGGCTTCGAGCTGTCAGCACAGAGCCCGATGCAGGGCTCGAAGCCATGAACTGTGAGATCATGGCCTGAGCTAAAGTCGGACACTCAACCGACTGAGCCACCCAGGCGCCCTGATTACTACAGCTTTGTAGCATAACTTGATAACTAGGATTGTGATACTTCCAATTTTTTCTTTTCCAAGACTGCTTTGGTTATATATACCATTTGGTCCATTTTATCTTGTTTCAATGTCTTAAGTATATAAACCACTGGTATAAAGTGTATGGTAAACAGTTTGTGCATCTGTGTTGTTGCTGTCATAGGTGGGTCCAGTTTCTATTCTAAATTCCAGTAATTTAGAATATTCTGATACCTTCACCTCTAAATTACAGTTTTTTATTTGACAGAGTATGGTTTTTGAGGCTTCTACAAAGAATGAAACCATAGCCCAGGAAGATAAAACTAAAGTGTTAAAAGCTGCTTTTCTGCAATACTGCAGGTATGAAAAGTTTTTTAAATTATGGCTTAGTTGACGTCTGAGCACACATTTTATTGACGTGCGTTCCTTATTTGTTGACTGGTGAGCAAGTTGGAAGAATGCTGCCACCAAGGAGCGGATGTTTTTCTGAGCTTCGGTGCTTTACCAAACTTACTCTGCACTTGGTAGGCACAAGAGGCTTCCAGCTGGTCTAGGAAAAAACATGGTGTGACAAAGCCTCTCCGCTTAATGGGTAACAACGTGCTGTTAAAAATGGTGATCGTGGGGGGGCGCCTGGGTGGCTCAGTCGGCTGAGTGACTTCAGCTCAGGTCACGATCTCGCGGTTTGTGAGTTGGAGCCCCACGTTGGGCTCTGTTCTGACAGCTCAGAGCCTGGAGCGTGCTTCGGGTTCTGTGTCTCCCTCTCTCTCTGCCCCTCCCCTGCTCATGCTCTGTCTCTCTCACTCTCAAAACTAAATAAATATTTAGAAAAAAATTTTTTAAAAAAATGGTGATCGTGGAAGACCTCTTGCAAACATGTTTTATGTGTACTGTGAAGGCAAATAAGTTGCATACAGAGGTTTAGCGATGTTATAAAGAAGTGAGACTTGGCCTATTCATTGGGTTTTGTTCTGTACAAAATCACCCAAGAACTTAGCAGCTTATTTAACACAGCTCATGATTCTGCAGTCTGGCTGTTCAGGGGTTGGGCTCATGTGGACTCGCTGTCTGTGATCAGCTGCCAGCCACCCAGGCTAGACTTGCCCACATTTAGGGTCTCTGGCTGGTCATGTCTCTGCTCGTGTGCCCTCTCATCTTCTAGCAGGCTCTCCCCCCTGGGTGTTCTCCTCCTCCCCGTGGCCTCAGTTCTTTCCTAAGATGCAGACATTCCTGCTCATGGGGGTGAGGTGTGCTCTCTCTGCCACTGTGTGCCCTTCCTCATAGTCCCTCGGCCTCGCTGCTCTTCTTCCTTGACTACAGGCCTCTGCTTATCCGTGTCTTCCTCCGGGAGGTTTTCCCTGCCCCTTGGACGGTTTTGGTTTCCCTTCGGTGTGTTCTGTAGCGCTCCCCTTTCCTTGTCACGGGGTACGTGTGACTGCTTGTTTAACTCTCTGGCTCCTTGTGACACCGTATCCTTTGTGAAGCCTTGGAGTGTGTTCTCAGTGTCCTGTCCTTCTGCCTCCAGTCCCTGGTGTGTTGTAAGTACTCGACATATATTTGTTGAACTAATAAATGCATAACAGGTGTCTGTCTTTTATTTATGTTTTTAATGTTTGTTTAGAGAGAGAAAGAGATAGCAAGCGGAGAGGAGGAGAGAGAGAGGGAGACAGAGAATCTCAAGCAGGCTCTACACTGCCAGGGCAGAGCCAGACGTGGGGCTCAAACTCACGACCCATGAGGCCATGACCTGATCCAAAATCAAGAGCCAGACATATAACCGACAGAGCCAGCCAGGCGCCCCTCGTGTCCCTTTTAAAGAAATGTTGCTAACTTTTAATAATGTTGTTTTAATGTTTTAATAACGTTATTAACTTTGGGCTAAAATACGGGAGTTTCCCAATGAATGTTTATGTGGTGAATTTTGAGAATGTTTGCCTCCTTTAATACTTCTGTGTTCCCATTTTATTTCAGAAAAGACCTAAGTCATGCTCAAATGATGGTTGATGAGCTCTTTTCCTCCCACTCTGACTTGGATTCCGACTGTGAACTAGACAGAGCTGTTACCCAAATCAGTGTGGACCTGGTGGATGACTACCCGGCCTCAGACCCACGATGGGCTGAGTCTGTCCCTGAGGGTGACAGCTGCTACTTTCCATGTTATGAGTGATCTGTTTTGAGAATATTCTGGTTCCTTTTTTAAGCATCTCTTGAAGCGTGTCTTTTTTAGTTTTTAAATCGGTTATTTATTATGTTTTAAAAGGTTGTAATTTACCTTACAGTAGATTTTGGAAAGGGCTCAGAACAGATCTGCCTAATAAAAACTGAAGGAATATTGGAGCAAATCTTGCTTGTTCTACCTGAAGCAGATTAGCCCTACTTAGCTTCCTCTCACATTTTATTTCTAAAAAATTGGTAGCATAGGTAAGCATTTGGCATCTGTGTGTGTGTGTGTGTGTGTATATATACGTATATATGTGTGTATACATATACATGTATATGTATGTTTTGTATACATATATATTTTTTATATATACGTATATATTTTTTAAAGTTTATTCATTTATTTTGAAAGAGCGTGCGCAAGCAGGACAGGGGCAGAGAGAGAGAGAGTTCCGAGCAGGCTTCACTCTGTCAGTGCAGAGCCTGATGCGGGGCTCAGACTCACGAACTGCCAGATCGTGACCTGACCTGAAGTTGGACACTTAACCGACTGAGCCACGCAGGTGCCCCTTTGACACCTGCTTGTTAGCCCCCAAATTAAATGATAATTCTGGCATAATCACTGTATTTGCCTAATAGAAGGTATACATTTTCCTAAGAGCTGCATTGAGCAAATCTCAGTGTATAGGAGTGGGCGTGTCTTGACATTCGGTCCAGGGTTTTCCTCCCTGCCCTGGGGGACTGTCCCTCTTAGACTTCTACTGCAGCGTCCCAGCAAACTGTCCAGACCTCCATTTCTCTCCCTTATTTCTTACTTAGCAAGTTTGCTAATCCTTATTAGAGGTTTAGGAAGGAAACGTCAGTGCTTACCTTTTTTCTTTGACTTTATTTTGATCTGTCAAGCTTAGAATGATATAAATGATTAAGCTATTGTTAGCTTAATGTTTTTGTGTTTTGAATAAATACACTATGAAATGTATCAAACTCCCAAAATTTCCCTCTAAATTTTTTAAATTCTTGGGTAATGTTACAAATGATTGCATTGAAAGGTTGGTGGTTTCCTTTTGTATAGATTTTTTTTTGGTTTTATTTTGTATAGATTTTTTTGTATAGATTTTGTATAAGTTTATTTTGTATAGATTTTATTTTAATAGCAGTAGTTATTGTAAACCCAGTATATTATGTGTTTAAATTTTGTTATTGTGTTTCAACAGAAGCACCTGGGTTTAGCAATACATCGCTGATTATTCTTCACCAGCTAGAAGACAAAATGAAAGCCCATTCTTTCCTTATGGACTTTATTCACCAAGTAAGCATCTAGTCGCTGTGAACAGGGATGGCCAGGACCCTGTGTCTTTTGTCAGCTCTAAGGCAATGGGAGATCCTTGCTTATTGTGAGATGTTTCATTGGGTGGGGACATGACCAGTGTTCTCATTTTCTTTGCTGACTTAAAAGTAAGTAATTCCAGGGCTGGTGGGGGTGACGGGGGCGAGGTATTCAAGTATAAATAGTGCATTGAAAACAGGGTGAAAAGAAGAAAAATAGTGTCTTTCAGCAGAAATGTTTCAGTTTTTCTTATCACTTTCTGTGATGTCCCGCTTTTCATTCCGATCTGTTGTGTGCTTTTATGTAAACTTAGGTTTTCACAAATTGACTTTGTGTTGTTAAAAAGAGTGAACCATATTAAGGTGATGACAGATTTTGATACATGGGCTTTTAATTTTGAAGTGCCATTAGAATCAGTTCCCTGTCTAAAGTGTTTTCTTTCAGGAGTATTCCCGTTTATATTGGGTCTAAAATTAGAATATTAAAATTTGCTGCTAGACAGAATTGTTAGGCAGAATCATCCACCTCTGCTTTGTTGATCAGTAGTGGCTTCCACGCATATTACATATCCACATGAAGAAATTCAATCCCACTTTTGCTTACTTTTTCCAAAATCAGTAATGCCTTGACATTAAAGAGATTCTGATGCTGTCTCAGTAGAACTTCCTGTGGTGACGGGAATGTTCTGTACCTGTGGTCTTCTGTAGTCACTAGTCACAGGCAGCTGCCGAGCACTTGAAATATGACTGATACAACTGAGGAACTACATTTGTTTTTAATTTAATTTTAATTAACTTAAATTTAAGTCACCATTTGGTGGAGAGTGGCTCTCTTATGATTCCAGAAATAGCTTGATTGTTCTTAATTCCACATTCTGCTTCATTATAATGCATGGTTTGGCTCCTGACTACTTTTATTGTCTTGGCAAGAGAACTGCATTTAAGTCGCTCTCTCTCTCTGTCTCTCTCTCTCTTTTTTTTT